GGGGAGAGACAACTAAAATTAAGTGCCACGTGAAGAGTAGTAAAACCTGATACAGTAAAAACTTGCTAAAATATGTACATATATGAAAATGATCTATATTAGATTGTCTAAACATGGAGAAGACAGAGTTCTAACAGGAGAATTCTTGCTATCAAAAGAAGGTTCCAGCACTGAGAATGGGGTACATCTAATTAAGATATTGGTCAAAGGGTTCCCATGGGAACCCAAACAACCCCAAACATTGCCAATAGCATAGATGCTCTTCACAAAATAATGACAAAGCCCTAGTGCTAAAGAAAACACAACTCATTGAACATGAAGGAGTTGACCTGGAGCCTACATAGAGCCTTCATTCCTATGTGCTAGCATCTTAGGCACACATCTTAGGCACACTCTACACACTCCCTAAATATACACCAGCCCAGCCTAAACACTACTAATATGTTAGTGTCATGACTACAAGCTATCCTAGGGCTTTTGCAACACAAGTTTGTGAACGTAATCAACCAATTTGTGGTTTGACTTAAGGTCCATTACATAGGAGGGGGCACGTGCCCAACACTGTTTGGGTGATGAAAAAGCAGAAACAAGATATCCCAGAAACCTAGGAATAAAAAATACTACTGTGCTTTAAAAATAAAATTAGCAGTACAATGACTTTGAATGGCATTCTCCTACGCTCAGATGAGTACCTGAACACCAAACCCTAAATAGAGGCCTACACGTGCCATAGAGCTCAGTGAACACAGAGGAAGAGGAAGCAGAAAGAATGTAAGAGCCAGAGAGGATGGAGGACACCAAGTTAGCAAGACCATCTTAGTCAGTGCTTTTCAACTTTCCTGATGCTGCAACATGTTCCTCATGTTGTGGTGGCCACAAGCCATAAAATTGTTTTTGTTGCTACTTCATAACGGTAATTTGATTCTGTTATAAATTGTAATTTAAATATATTATATACAGGATACCTGATGATGCAACACAAGAAAAAAAGTCATTTGATCACAAAGGGGTACTGAGTCACAGGTTGAGAACCACTGCTTTTATTCAACATTATTGAATCTCATACAAACTCAGAGACTTGAAAGAAGCCTGCACATGGTTTGCATGTATGGTATGGCTTCCAACTTAGGATTTTCAGTGGGATTCCTGAGTGTGCAAATAAGTGAGTCTCTGATTCGTGTGTCTTTTCTTAGGCCACTTTCTTCCTGTTTCTTTGTGTTGTCCAAGTCTGATATGATAGTTTTTTCTATTAGTGTATTTTATTTTAACATATTTTATTATTATCAGTTAGACTCCTATTTATTTGCTAAGAATAGACAGAAAGGGAATGATCCAGATTGGTGGTGAGGTGTGGAGGAACTTGGAGGGTTAGACCAAAGAAACACCATAATCAAGATATATTATATGAGAAAAAAATCTATTTTCAATAAAATGAAAAAGAAAAAGAAAAGAAAATATAAATGTTATTGTCACAAGGATGTTCACTTACCTCGCCTTAGCATCTTAAAGCAATAATAAAGTTACTAGACTATTATCAATTGTATTCCATTTTATTTCTTTATTTATTACTAAGTGGGGGTAATTCTACAACACATGTGGAGGTCAGTGTGCCTTTATGTGGAGTCAGGACTTGTCCTACACCTGTAAATGGATTCCTGGGATAGATTCCATATCATCTGACATAGATGGCAGGTCTTACAATCACCGAATCATCTCTCCAATAGATATGTAATTATTTTTACAGGTAGTACGTTGATGCATTGGGCCATTTATCTTCAAGACAAATTACTAGGGAGCTATTGCTGATATTTCATCATTTTTGAAGATGGTTTGAAACCTTGTTTGGTGTCTTCATGAATAGCATGGCACAATAACTTTAGGGGTCCAATACTGGCACATATACTTTAGTAGTAGATAATAATTGTAAAATTTGACTTAAGGACAACTCTAATACAAGGAAATACTGTCTGGTTCTGGAGATCTAAACAACTATCTGGGCTAGTGTGATTATTGATCTTGAAGAAATCTATAGCTACAACTTTACTAAATAAGCGTAATTTCTAATTCCAAACTAAATATTTATCCTTCTTCATACAAATTAATATGCCCTTATACCTCAGACAAACACCATTACTTAAGCATAAACTGATAAAAATACAGATAACAGGTTATTGTGTGATTCCCAGCCTTAACTGATATATCTATACCAGAATTCCTGTACCTAACGCTCAGGAAACATCATGCAAGAGTGGGGAAAAGATTGCAAGAAATTGAGGAACAGGAAGTTCGCTATGAGATTGACGCTCCTAGGAATGTAGTCATGTCAGCCCTAACTATATATATATATATATATATATATATATATATATATATTACATTATTAATCAGGTTACATCTATATATTTATGAATATAAATATTTATTGTCTGTATTTGTACATTTTTTTAAAAAAATCATGTATGGGCAGCCTGTCTACAGTGGTTCTGTTGAACTTATCCATTCCCATATTGGGTTTCATTGTCTAAGTTGATGAGGACAACTGACCAGATCTATTCCTCAAGAGGGCACCAGATCCCATTACAGATAGTTGTGAGTCACCATGTCGTTGTTGGGAATTGAACCCAGGACCGTTGGAAGAGTAGGCAGTGCTCTTAACTGCCGAGCCATATATAGGTAATTTAAGATAAATATGTATTTGAGAAAACAAAATAGCTATGCATGAGAGATTGAGAAGAGTAATAGAAAGATAAACAATTTAATTATAATTTATTTGAAGAATGTATTAATAAAATGTTAACTTTAATAATATAGAACAATATATGAGAAAAATTCCAACAATCTAATAAAACATAGCAGATAATAAATGCATTAGATGCATACCACATTCACACCAATAGTCTCTTTTCAAATGTTCCCATTTCTTTGCAGTGTCTTGTAGCTTTTTGGCCTCTGACAGATTGTTCTATAAATACATTATAAAAATATTGATGTTTCTAATCCATGTTTATTGTCATTTACTTAATGTGTCCTATTGAAATAAAGAACTAGTGCTATGTAGTCAAGAAAGAGTCTTGCAAATTAGACATGACAAAAAATGTAAAACAACTTGCTCAATTGTACATATTAAATATTCTCAGATATTTCTTTTTTTATTGTGAAAAGAAGAAAAAAAACATAAACAAAAAACAAGTTTCCACCTCCTCCCAGCCTCCCATTTCCCTTCCCCTCCTCCCACCCTTCTCCCCCTCCTCCCACCCTTCTCCCCCTCCCCCCACTCCTCTCCCCCTCCCTCTCCAGTCCACAGAGCAGTCCGGGTTCCCTGCCCTGTGTTAAGTCCTAGGTCCTCCCCCCTCCGTCCATATCTAGGAAGGTGAACATCCAAACTGGCTAGGCTCCCACAAAGCCAGCACATTAAGTAGGATCAAAACCCCCTGCCATTGTCCTTGGTGTCTCATCAGCCCTCATTGTTCGCCATGTTCAGAGAGTCCGGTTTTATCCCATGCTTTCTCGTTCACAGTCCAGCTGGCCTTGGTGAGCTCCCCGTAGATCAGCTCCACTGTCTCAGTGGGTGGATGCACGCCTCATGGTCCCGACTTCTTTGCTCATGTTCTCCCTCCTTCTGCTCCTCCTTGGGACCTTGGGAGCTCAGTCCAGTGCTCCAGTGTGGGTCTCTGTTTCTATCTCTATCCATCACCAGATGAAGATTCTATGATGATATGCAAGATATTCGTCAGTATTGCTCTAGGATAGGGTCATTTCAGGTTCCCAGTCCTCAGCTGCGCAAGGAACTAACTGGGAACCTCATCTTGGGCACTAGGGAGCCCCTCTAGGGTCAAGTCTCTTGCCCACCCTAAAGTGGCTCCCTTAACTAAGAATTGTGGTTCCGTGCTCCCCTATCCACCTTTCCTTCAGATATTTCTATGTCAAACATTCAACAATGAAGAGAAACAACACATCATAATAAGTATATATCTGGAATAGTTGGTTAAAAATGGTAAGTAGATAGTGCTGGAGAGATCTTTCAGAAGTTGGGTGTATTCTGCACTTGCAGATGACCCAATACCGACAGCAGGAAGTTCACAACTTCCTGTGACTCCAGCTCCAGGGGATTTGATCAGTGACCCCTTCTGGCCAAATGCACCAGCAATCACACGCACCTACTTACACATAATTTAAAGTGAAATTTTTTTAAAAAAATATGAATGCCAGTTCTTAAAACAAATTTCAGTTGAAAGAAAACTATATTTTTTGTTCCCTTGATTTTATAAAATAAGTGGAATATTTATATTCTAAATAAATATACAACTAATAAGCAAAGAAATTGAATAATTGAAACCTGATGATGAAATTTTAACAGATTAATCATTTTGATTGACACAAGTATTGCTGTTATACCATGAATGTTCATTGGACATGTTGCACAGAACACCAAAGGAGGTACTAGCCTCAGATTTAAAAAGCAAAAACATGCAAACCTTTAGAGAGATAATCATAAAACATCATAAAAGGTGAAGCATGTATAAACCCTCAAACGAGGACACACACTTTTAATCAAAGCACTAGAATATAGACCTTTGAATTCAAAGTCAACCTGGCCCGCAAAGTGTGTTTCAAGACAGCCATGGCTACAGAGAAACCGTCTTGGGCAGACATGCTCTTGCTCAGCTTTCCGTGCTGTGGTCAGGTAGATGCATCGAGCCTCCTACAACATCCTGTAAGTTTTATTCTGGCTTTGCCTCTTGTCAACTGAAGCAGCACCATGCTGTCTGTGCACCTAAATCTTGTGTGTACTGGTGAGTCCTGCTGGGAATGAAGGGTGTGCAATAACAGGGTGGAAATATCTCATGGGAGGCTGGATCTTTCCACAGAAGAAACACTGGCTTCCGTGGTTGATATTGGTGTATGAGTTCATTATAATGAAGTGAGCTCTGACTCTAATGTACAGAGGCCCAATAGAAACAGGGATATCAGATCACTAGGCTGTTGGAAGGAGATAGATTATGCATCATGAGCTTTTCTTTCCAGGCTTCATCCTACTCCTGAGGACTTTGGCACAAGCAGGTGAGTCAGCCTCAGCCATGAGATACTACTATCCGTGCCAATAGAGAAGATTCATTCTAACAGGAGAGTAGGCATCACGGTGTGTTGTCTCGTGGAATCTGTGAGTGATTCTTTGGTTAGTCTCCTGAACTGTGAAGTTAGTACCTTGAAAACACACCTCTCAGTCCTGTTCCACATTGTACCGGACACTGCCCCTGGCTCAGTTAGGCATCAATTTTGATCAGTCAAACATTTTTGGGTTTTTTTTAAGACAGGGTTTCTGTATGTAGCTCTTACTATCCTAAAAATCACTTTGAAGACCAGGCTGCCCATGAACTCATATATTCACCTATCTCTGCCACCCAAGTGCTGGGATTAAAAGAGTGTATTTAACTGGGCAGTGGTGGCCACTTCTTTAATTCCAGCACTTGGGAGGCAAAGGCAGGCAGATCTCTGTGAGTTCGAGGCCAGCATGGTCTACAACAGCTAGTTCCAGGACAGGCTTGAAAGCTACAATCCCTGTCTTAAAAAATCAAAGAAAATATTAAAAGAGTGGGCCATAACAAGAATAATCAATACTTTTAAATAAAAAAATAGTCTTCCCCTTTCTACACTATCACCTGACCATCACCACTTATTTTTGATATTATGATGCTATCATTTATTACTTTTTAAATATGTGTGTCAATTGACAAGTTATTGAAATTATTTTTGTCTTCAAACAACTTTGCTACAGATAGAATTTGTGTATCACCAGCACACTGTTGACACATCTCATTTTGCTTGCTTTACTGAGCTACTGTTACTTTCTCCACATGAGGATGTCAGGTCACCCATTATCAGCCTTTCTTTGTGTTTGAAGATCTTCACAGCATTTCCAGTGTTTATAATGATGAACTCTTGTCTGCTACTGTTTTTCTGAGAAAATCATTATCTTGATTTCTGATGGACAGTGTTGCTTATATTTATAGGCAGGGTTTTTCTTTTTCCACTGACTTCATTGAATACATTATCCTGAACTCTTGTGAATTGTAGGTCTTCCATTAGCTGTAATTAGAAGTTCCTTATATGTTCTTTGCTTCTCTTATTATTGTGATTTCAGGATCTTTTATGATAATAATACGTTCTGTGATATGATCGTTTGGGTTGAATTTCATTTTTTACCATTTGACCTTCTTGAACCTGACCATGTTAATTTTACTCCAAGTTCAAGAGTTTGCTATTCTTTCTTCTCTACATTTTTTATTTATTTTAATTAGCTGTTTTTCCTTTCTTTTGTTAATTCTTTGATAATTTAATACAATGTATTTAATTATATGCATCCTCCGGTGTAACATCATCCTAGTTTCACTCCACTAGACACTAAAGAGAACCTCTGTGTTCCTTTACTCTTTCTTGAACTTCTGACTGATAATTTGGTATTGAGATTCACTCAAAAACATCCTGACATTTTTCTTTATAGAATTTTTTTTCATTTCTGCATTTGCCCATCAGATTATATAAAGCCTAACCTAAGCACATTCATTTTCTTCTTTTATCATATTTACTATTGAAATAATCTATTAACTTTGTAAATTTTTGCATTTATCTGAGTTTTACCCATGCGCACATAACTTACGTTTTTGTGTGTGCCTGTGTATTTATGTTTGTGTGTGTGTGTCTGTGTGTGTGTCTGTGTCTGTATGTGTGTGTTGGGTGTGCATTTGCTATGACACAACTGTGAAAGTGAAGGAAAACTTCTGGAATCAGTTTCTCTTTTCACCATGTGGGTCCCAGCAATGGAAACCAGAGAGTCAGGCATGGCAGCAACAGCTTTACCTCCTTAAACATCAAGCTGGTCTACAAGTTTGTCCAATTCAGTAGTTGTATGTTTTGCTTAAGAGAGATGTTGCCAAAATTTTTATGTTGTTCAATGATTTGCTTCCAAATTTTATAAAACATTTTAATCAGAGTTAATTTTTTATAGTTAGATACCATCTTCTTGTTTTATAAAAGATTGTTCTTTGAATTTCTTGAGACTTTCATACATGAGTAGTATATTTGCATCATTTCTACCCGTTTGAATATATCCAAAGAACTTGAAACCCTATGCCATGGATACTTCCCCAGTAATGTTTCTTGCTGTTCTATTCTCAAGAACTAAGACAAGGAAACTATCTAGATGTATTTCAAATGATGAATGGCTAATAAAAATGTGTCACGTACACACTCTGTAATACTAGTCAATGGTAAGTAATAACAAAATCATGAAATTTTTAGAATAATAAATGGACTTGGAATATATTTTACTGAGTAAGATTACATAGACCATAAAAAATGCCACATTTTCTCTCTTATGTCATGTTCCTAGCTCTGAAACATTATTCATGATATCTTATAATTCTGTAATTGTTTTAAAAATGCTACAGTGAATTATCTGTTATGGGCTTCATAAATCTTCCTTTCCACTGTATTTACTACCAAAGCCTCAGCATTGTTCTCTGGCATGTTTGACTTCTCTGATTTTCATACACAAGTTTTTACACAAAGAACCTTCATATTAAAGAGAACTATTACTTCTGTCACATGCAGATGTTCTATGGATGTTAATAGATGTTTACTATTAATTCTCACCTGAGAATAGATTTGGGTAAATTGAATGCAACCCTGGACAGGATAGCATTGATGTCAGTTTCCCATGTTTCACTAACTCGCTTCCTCAGTTTTCAGATCAGATGCTTTTGGTAGCTGGGCTTCTTGGTACAGTAAATTACTGGCCACTTATCACAATCAGGTACAGTTTTTCACTAGGGTACTTGAAAGCCTCTGCCTGAGCAGTGTTTCAAGATGTCCACACAGGTTGGTGTCTATATGGTCTACTGTCTCTTTTCTCAGAAACATCTCCCATGTGGATACAAAAGAATGACCAAGATTCATGGGTTGGCAATCATGAGTCCAAATAATTTTTATCAACAAGTGACTGAAGAGGCAGAACAATGCTGTTCTCTCAATGTTCCACATGCCAGGAGCCTGAAATGGTTAAGAAACTGTATGTCTGTGTCTAACTTGTCACTCAGTGTAGAAACATTAGCCGATGTGGCTTCTGTGAATGAAGCTCTGTACAAGAGTACTTAAGAGACAGAGTAGTACAAAGGATTCATTCCTCCTGTTTGTTGTTAATTTTCTCGGTTCGGTGGTCCTGGGGGCTGACTTCCCTCACTGCTGAGATATTGAACATTCACAATGTATTTCTAATCCAGTATTGTTAAGTTTCTAGAGTCTATGAAGGTGAGTCAAAAACATTCCTTTTTTATAACTTCTTGGCCATAATTTCAATCTGTCTTTTCACAAATGAATCTTTTCCTCAAATCCTCTGATATAATTTCCCCTTAAATTACATTTTTTCACAACTAAATCTACTTTATTATTTAATACTCACTCAAAATTCTCAATTAACATATCTTAGCATAAAAAGATATTCCATATGTACATGGTAGCTGGGTGACACACAAGACATGAAAATGACACTTTTGTTTGAGACTTTCCTTGGGAAGATTTAACACATGCAATTCTGGTAACCACATAAAGGAAACCCAGGACAGACCAAACAATAATTGCATCAATGCCCAAATCTTTGAACTTGTGCATCTATTGAGATTACTAATAGCAGTATGGAAACGGGTTTATTCGCTGAAACAAGGGATGACTCAAAATCATTACTGAAAACACATCTCAATATGGGTGATTTTTATGAAAGACAAAACCATGGAGCTCCCTGCACAACTTTCTGGCAACTGAATGGGTCTTGGATATCCTTTTAGAATTCAGCAGGAAAAGTAACTTATAGTTTCTATCGAGCAGGAAGGGCCACTGGTGATTCTTGCAAGTTTCAGCCCTCAAATATATTAATGTTTGTTTACCTCTTGAGTCCCCTGTGCCTTTAAAGCTCTAACATTGAAACAGAGATGTTTCCGTTCAGAGAAAAGAGTCAAACAATGGACCCTGAAGAAGTAAAATTTGGAGACACTGATCTCAAGAATGAAGGTGGATCACTAAATATTTTACTATGTGTATCTTTCTACAGGAATTAATGCCAAACCTTCACTGTCTGCCTGGCCAAGCAATGTTGTTCCTCAGGGACAGAATGTGACCCTCACTTGTGACACTCAAAACAAGTTTAACATAGTCATGCTGTACAAAGAGCATGGGGATCCAAACCTTCAGGTCCATAAAAAAATGTTCCGGAGGAGTCTTCTCTTGGGGCCTGTGACACCAGCATTTGGAGGAACCTACAGATGCTATAGTTATAAACATCAATACCATACTGAACTCTCATCACACAGTGAGCCTCTGAAGATCATAATTTCAGGTCAGAGATCATGTTTGCTGTGCCTTTTCATTCTGCCAAACCTCCCCACAGGAGAATTTTTAAAATGAGTTCTAGTCAGAATCTTAGCATTATAAAGGAATATGCTACACATGAAATTGGGAAATATTGTGCTGTTACCAGGGTCAAATAAGTGGGAAATGGTCCATAGAAAGATGGAGGAGTCTGTGTATGAGCAGACATAAAAAATGAAAAGGACACTGGGATACTGATCAAAAGAACAGATTAAGGGGAAAATAGCATAGGATTTCTGGGATACATAGATTGACAGCAGGTTCATACTCACAATCTATTTATTCCTAGGAATCTACAAGAAACCTCTCCTCTTGGTCCTACCAACTCCTCTGGTAAAATTAGGAGAGAAGACGACATTGAAGTGCCACTCAGAGATTATGTTTGACATTTTCATTTTGACTTCACATAGAATGGGAATAAACAAGGACTCTTATCAGCTCTCTGCAGAATATCATTTTGGAGGATCCAATGCCAACTTCCCAATAGGACCAGTAACACCTGAGCATGCTGGGACCTACACATGCTACGGTTCTTACAAGAATACACCATATGAGTGGTCTGGATCCAGTGACCCTGTTGACATAAAGATCACAGGTAAGAGGGTGTTACCTGGTCACCAGCCTCTCTGTGATGAGAACAGTTATTATATAGACAGCATGTCCTAGATGAGTATGAGAAGCTTAGAGAAAGACGGACTTAGAGAGTATATTACTGACATAGACGATGAAAACAGAGATACAAGAACAAACCATTGGTTGTAACATAAAGCACAGATACAGGGATGTCAAAGGAATCGTACCTAGAGATAAAGAGAACTGAGCAGCTTTGTGAGACTAATATGTATCAGAGACAATGATACCCTTCTACTAATGTTCAAAGGCCTAGAAGATTATGATTTTGTTTGGCTTCTCCCTCTAAAAGACATCTGTCAGAAGACCTAGACATATAAGTCTGATCTGTATTCATGTGCCAAATATGGTTCATTCTTCATGGGTCCTGAGGTCTTGGTACAGATGGCACCCATAGAATTTCTGTCAAGTTTGACAGTTCTTCCATGCTTGTGTTTGAACAATTATTCATCAAAGAATAACATAACCCTAGGTAATTGAATAGATCACCAGTCGCTGTCTGTTCTCTATATTTCCAAAATGTTGTCAGCCCATGTTCCAAATTCATTCACACATTCTAGGATTGGTGAAAAAATTCTATAGTGGTTCACCCTGGAATAGACATGAATACAGAAGCATGGAAATATGTTGTAGGGAGAGGGGCCCCTATGGTATAGGAGGTACTTCTGTATTTGTGTTTATTAAAGAAACTGCCTTGGCCTGGTTGATAGGGTGGGACTCAGGTAGTTGGGGAAGACAGAACAAAATTCTGGGAAGAAGGGCAGAGTGGCAGATGCTATGAATCTCTGACCTGAGATGGACGTAGGTTAGAATCTTGCCAGTAAGCCATAGTCACGTGGTGATACACAGATTTAATAGAAATGGGATAATCAAGATGTGAGAGTTAGCCAATAAGAGGCTAGAACTAATGGGTCAGGCAGTATTTTAATTAATATAATTTCTGTGTGGTTATTTCTGGTGTAAACTAGCCAGGAGGGGTGAAAAAGCAGGCCCTCTCTCCTTGCAACAGAAATATATACAAACAGGCAGACTGAGAGAAAGATTCAAATACTGAGGAAATAGTAAGCATGACATATGTGGGAGGAAAAAATCTGCAAAAAGTTTTAAGCTTAATATTGGGTATTTCAAAGCAGAAATAGGGAGCAGATAGTAGATTATATTTGAGCAGTAAACACACTACTAGAACCAAGGGAGGGAAGTTCATCATGGCCACTGTTCATGGAAACAAACACATTCATGGGATATTATGTCCTTTGAAAAGAGAGATCCATTAACACAGATATGGGGGAAAGGTCAGATATAAAATTAATTACTTTGAATGAAGTCAGATTTTACATTTTTAATATACATAGGATGAGGAAGTTATAAGTCATGAAATTGGGAACAAACCATGAGAAGGGGAAGGATATTAAAAAGTGGAATGGAAAAAAGAAGAAATACATGCAACATAGAAGGGGAAATGAGGGGGTAGGACCAGCAAAGGTTGTATAAGGGAAGGGATTAGGAAGAAAATGTACAAAATGAACTGTCTGAGAATGTCTTAATGAAGTTCATTGCTTTATATCTTAATTAAAACAAAATAATAAGTATCTCTAATTAACCCAGTGATTAACAAAACATTTGGAAAAACTGAAAGTATAAAGAACACTGGGAAAAGGAATGGAATCAGTGGAAATCAATAGAGAAGAAAGAATGATAGCATAAATATGATCAAGATTACATATATAAACATATGTAACAACACTTAAAAAGGAAGTGACAAAATGATGTAATTATATGTTAACTTCAAATTTTTAATGAAAACAAATATAAAATGCATTAGTTGAATGTTTCATAATAAATCCAATTACTACATAAATTAAATATCTGTTTTATAAAAACAAACTTAAAAAGAAAGATGGTATGAACTAATGAATATCAAGGCAGATACTGTCAAAAAGTGAGAACTGAAATAAAATATATCGGTATAGGATAGAAGCCAGAGATGAGTAAGGTAATTTAGAAGAAAAGAAGGAGATGGGAAAGAAAGGGATGTAGTGAAGGGAAAGATAAATGAGAGATCACAGAAATAGAAGCATGGAGATAGATCACTGAGGAGTGACTGAACACTGGTAAGGAACTGCTCCTCTACTGTCTCTACCTCCTTCCTTCTAGGTTTATACAAGAAACCTTCCTTGTCTGCCCTGATGGGAACTGTGGTGACATCAGGAGAGAAAATGACCTTGTCCTGCATCTCTGAATATCAGTTTGACGTGTTCCATCTGTCCAGGGAAGGGGTGCCTCTGGGACATGGGTTACCTGCAGAGCAGAGCCACAATGGGACATTCCAGGCCAACTTCCTTCCTGTTCCTTTGATCCAGGCAGAAACGTATAGATGCTATGGTTCTTTTAGGAACTCTTCCCATGTGTGGTCATCCCCAAGTGACCCATTGTACCTTTCGATCACAGGTAAGAAAGTCGTCTTATATGTATCTCATATATTGTGACTAAGGAGATCCTAATGAAGCCATGTCTGAGAACCATTTATTGGTGATAGAGAGACTCAGTAACATACATATATACATAATATGTCTGAGTATACAAAAAATATTAATCAGACAAAAAGGCTATCAATGTAAGGGGTGTATGGAAAAACCTGGAGGACGGATACCTGAGATGTGCTGAAGAGATTAAAAGAATAAGAAAAGAGATACAATTATATTTCATTTAAGAAGTTTTTTAAAAGATATAGAGTTTAAGAATGAATATCAAATTACAAAATAATAGATAAGGAGCCTCTCAAATAATCCTTATCCTGATCGGTCAGCCACACTGGGATGTGTATGTATCCATAGAGAATAAGAAAAAGGTCAGGACAGATTCATTAAGGATAAGATTGCAATCAGTTTGGACAGATCACAGAAGGAGCAGCCTCCTGATCTCTCCCTCACATAGCTCTCTACAGTATTCCTATTGACTCATCACAATGTGAAATAAACACCTCAAAGCAAATCACATAATGGCATCCTAAGATTCTAAAGGCTCAGCACTAAGAGGTGGAGTAGGTGCTGCTTACTCTCCAAATTTAAAGGACTTTGCATGTGGGGAAGTCACATAGTCTTTTGGTGAACTTTTACCCTCTCCTCTCCTCTTCCCTAGTAAACTCATCAAGAAATTTCACTTCATCCACTGAACCAGACTCCAAAACTAGTGAGTAATTTTTCCCCTTCTCTATTGTGGAAACTTGGGGACCAAATGCTCTTGGGCTCATATTTTGAATTGACTTCCTCACATCTCAGTAGTTTTAACATCATCATCTCCTCTCTCTTATTCTTAAACTCTGCAACTCCAGAACGTTTTTGGAGCAGCATGGGAACTGTACCTGAGATCTCCTACAAGTAAAAGGGAAAGCAGATTTAGCCCCCTTCCAGGATCAATGAAGTGCTCTTTATATCTCAGTTTTTTTTTTCTGGAGAGAAGATCATAGAGCCTAAAAAAGGAAGCAAGCAAGCAGAAAGGACAATTTTATAAAAATATTGCTTGTGACAGACTACACTAGACTCTGCTTTAGCCCTTTAGAAGAATTAGTGGTTGCTTCAAGGTGTTGAACACGTAGTCAATACCCTGGAAGCAGTTAGACGCTGCTTGTTTGCTTCCCAGCTGCCAAGACCTTAAATAATTACACAGAAACTATATTAAATGCAACTGTTTGGTCAATAGCTTAGCATATTTCTAACTAGGTCTTACATCTTAGATTCACCCATTTCTATTACTTTACATTCTATCATGAGACTCGTGCTTTACTGGCGAGGTTCCAGCTAACATCAGGGGTCTGTCTCCTGCTGTGGCTACATGGCTTCTATTTGACTCTGACTTTTTTCCTCCTCTATCTGCTTGGAATTCCCACCTTGCTCTATTCTGTTAAGCTACTGGGTGAAACACCTTTATTCATTAACCAATAAGAGCAACACATATGCAAAAGGACTTCCCACACCAATATATGCCCTCTAGATTCTTTTATTTTATTTGTATTAGTTATTTGAGAATATCAAGCTTTGATCAAATTTAACCTCTTTCTTAACTCTTCCTGAATTTACCCACTCAACTCTGTTATCTCTTTTTGTCCGTTAAGTTCAATTTATGATGACCAAAAATTAGGGACGTGTGGTCTAATACTGAAGCAAGTTTAATTTACATACATAAACATTCTTGAAACTGATCCTTATAGCAGCTATCATTAACCTACAGCTCCTTGGTTAGGGCTGAGACTTCACGTCCACATTCCCAGGGCATGATGGAATTTGGTTTACTTGAGTATGTAATGATTTTGTACATGTAGACACAATTGCTTTTGAGTTCATATATGCAACTGCCCTCCTGTGTCCAGGAGACACTCTTCTTGGTTATTATTATCAACCTCATTCAGAATTCTTGGTCTAGCTTTTTAACAATGAACACTGAACATTACATAGGTGGAAGTGGTATAAATGTCCCATTTAGAGCCAAGAATTCTACAGTCTTTTATTCTCTGCAGTTTGGCTAATTGTGGGTATCTATATTGATCACCACCTATTGTGAGTATAAAGTTCCCTGCTGAGGTTTGAAAGATGCATTAATATAGAGTCTAAAGAAATTTCATTAGATGTCATTTTAATACTGTGTGCATTTAGCAGAAAAAAGAATACTAGGTTCTTCAACAAAAAAATCCTGATGATTAATAGTCCATTACTTATCCATCTATCATTAAATATTAAGCAATCTATTACAGATACTCTAAAACTGACATCTTACTGATTCATATCTTCCATCAGATAATCATAGGCTCCTGCATATTCTGATTAGACTGTCACTTTTCATGATTGCTGTGTTCCTCATCTTCATCATTCATTCTTGGACCCATGCCAGAAGGAATATCAAAAATAAGCCAGAAAGAGACATCTAAGGAGCCAGAGAAACTGAACTTGGAGGAAAACAGGTATGTGGTCTTCATTCACTTAGGCCAGGACAGGGCCACTGAGTTAGGGCTTTACAAAGAGAAAAGGTAAGTCCTTATTCTTTCCCTAAGCCTTCAGACTAGGGACTAATTCTTCACTGTATATTCACAATCAAAACAGACTAATATCTAGGAGACTGTATTTTGAAAGACAGAAAGCTAACGTGAGAATGAGTAGCATAGCAAATGATAAGATGGGGCTTAGAACATAGAGATGCAGAACAGCTGACTCTGCTCTAGGGAAGAAGAGCCACCTTGGAGTTTACCGTATCTCTCAATAAAACATCAGTATTAGAAATGAGCTTGCAGAAGTGCGTTTTAGGTGTCTTTAATTACTTCTGCCCCCCAAAAACTACAGTCATAAATGACCAAGGGTATGAAGTTGAAAGAACATGAAAGAAATAGATTCTCATGAACCTAGCTTGTTCCATATATGATGGGTCCTACATTCCCTCATACTGTCTAGAATATGTGCATACAACATCACTTAACATTTATCTCTTTCTAGGAACATGAAAGAAAAGAAATGCTGAAGGTGACCTACACAGAATTTGAACAGTGGACATTCAAACAATTGACCATGCCCGATACCGAGCAGGCCCAGGAATTTTGCAAAGAGATCAGTGTGTACATGGTAGTTATGAAACAATAATCTAAGAACAAAGATTATCTGTAGCTCATGAGTTCTCAAATAAAGTTCTGAAGAATTCCTCTGTGGAGACCACAGCACATTTGGCAGCACAAACGAACAGATGCAATGAAACAATTATTGAAATCATAACAGAGGTCTCTAACTTCAGAATCATCCATCATTATTCTGGTCTGCATCTGAATGTGGCTTTCTTTCATTTAAAAATATTAGGACTCTCACTTTTCCTTAGATAGAAATCAAAACCTTTTCCTCAATCTATTGGTATTTATTTCTTTTCACTTCTACCAACCTGTAAAACCTAAATAGCTGCATATTCTAGACCTACTTGAAACTGTAATCATTTGAGTATATCACACTTTCATATCAGCAACAGTCTCACTCTTTAATTAGTATATATTACTAATATGTAATAATGTTATACAACACATTGAGTCTCAAGACATTTTCTTATATGAATCTGTATTTTGATCATTATCAAACCCAGTTACCCTATATTGGCTTTTCAATACTCCTTCTAATGTCCTTCCAGAGTCCCACACTTAACATAGGGCTTTAGCATATGCTGTGCTGCATCTTTGCTCTTTGTCAAGGTTGTCTCTCATCAGATGCATCCATGTGTTTCTTTAATCTTTCAATGTAGACTCCTCTATTGAGAAAAGTTTTTTTTTTTAAATATGATTGAAGTAAGGCACCATCTAGTTCTGCCAAGTCTGTTACTCTGCACCTGAGAAGTTAGTTCCTCTGAGTCTAAGTCTTTTGGAAGAAAGATCATTAAGGCTCAGGAGGTAAACAAAACCTTACAAGTATCAGCAAGATCCTAAAACAAACAAAACTTAAATGTGCCCTCCTAAGATTTTATGAGTAATAACAATCACAGAGCATAGAAGACTCTCCAGTTAACCAAACCACCTGCAAGGCAGCAAGGGAGCACCAGGTGAGCCGCTTTCCTGTAGCATCACCCATTTTCTCACAAGCGTGTGGAGATACAGACATTTTTGAGTCACCTGTGCTCCCATTATTATCTCCTCATACAGTGCCATGGCTAATGTCACATGGATGGCTAACTTTACTTTTAAAAGTTTAAAATTTCTGAGCTCAAGAGAATTATAGAGCAAAATTGGACTTGAATGTTAAAGCCTGCTAACAGTTCTTTTTGTAGTTGACTGGTCTTGTACAACTTTAACAAAACTGCTCTTTCTGTTTCTACAAATGAAACCTTGCTTTGTACCAGATGACCTGTTTTCTTCTAGACAGAATATAACTTTAGGTCATTGCCTTTATAAATCACCTGACTGAGGTATCTCGAAGCTGCCATTTGGAATTCTAGATGTATGCCTGGTGTCGGGATATGAATAAAAGCCTCTGCTTTATTAGAATGTATTAATTGTCAGAGTGTTGAATCTCTAAACAAACATGCTTGTCCGTAGAACCATGATCCTGTAAGCTACCCTACTAAACTCCTGAGTTCAGTAAAATAGTCCTGGGTGGATCATTTATTGCATCTGTCATAGGTGACCTATCTGGTATCAACAGATGTCTGCTCACATCTCACAATAAAGAATCACACAATCTATGTACACAGTAACAATTTTAGATATGGTTTCTCTTGCTGGGATAAACCCTGACCAAAAGCTAATTGGTGCAAAGTATATATTTGGATTACATATCTAACATACCCCAGATCACAATCCATTCAGTGAAGCCAAGGCCAGGAACCTGGAGGCAACAACTGAAGCAGATGGAACAAAGTTCATCACACACTGGATCATTCCTCATGCCTTGCTCAGCCTACTTTATTATATACAACTTCAGATGACCTGCCAAGGAGTGGCATCATCACAGTGGTCTAAGCCATCTCACTTCAACCATGAATCAAGAAAATGCCCAGCAGACTTGCCTATAGACAAATCATGTGGATGCATTTTCTCAAATGAGAGTTCCACTTCCCTAATAACTACAACTTGTGTGAAGTGAAAAATAATCAGCTAGAACATTACCCCTCTATTCTCTTCTGCATGTCCATGCTAGTATTGTAAAATACATCTTTGTTTGTGTGCCCCTCTGTCTGACTGTTGATTTGAAACTGGAACTTGATAAGTACCCTCAACTTAGGGTAGTCTTACTTTATCCTCCCAAGAGTTAAAGGTACAGGGGCTGTGAGAATTCAGAAGTTGGAATTTTATTTTAAGTATCTTTAATCTAAATTCCTTTCAAGAATGCAGCAGAGAGGTTTTTGAGTGCCATGTGACTTGAAAATTTTAGGCAGTAAAAAAAAATCAAAAGCATGAAAGTGAATACACCTAGAACTCACATTTAGCAAAATAAGCTAGATTCTGATAGGTAAATACTACACATTTTATATGTGTAAACTAGATATAAAATTACATTTTTACTTTTTTACTTTAATTATCTTTTTAGTTTAGCATGCACAGTATTGGGTTTCATCTGTATACATATGTATAATATTGTGTGTGTGTGTGTGAGAGAGAGAGAGACAGAGACAGAGACAGAGGGAGAATCTAGAAAGAAAGACAAGAAAATGAAGAAAGAGACCTTCTTAAGGTAAGATTTTTTATTTGAGGAAATTTTGTTTTCTCTTTATTTTTAAAAATTAATATTTTGTAGTCCAATTACAATTTACTCTCTATTCCTCCTCTCCTCCTCTTCCCTCCTCCCAGCTGACTTTCCCCCTTCCACTCCTCCTCCTTTCTTATCAGGAAAGGGCAAGTCTCCCATAAACATAACCAGCCATAGTATATCGAGTTACAATAAGAACTAGAACCTCCTCTCCTATTGAGACTGAACAAGGCAACTCAGTATGAGGGAAGGGTCCCAAAAATGGGTTAACACAGTCAGAAAGAGCCTTATGAGACCCACAAGACCAAGCTTTACAACTGTAGCACATGGAGAGGGCCTAGGCCAGTCAAATGCAAGTTCACTGATTGTCGGTTCAGTATCTGAGCCCTTATGAGCCCAGGTTAGTTGATTCTGTGATTTTCTAGTGCTGTCCTTGACTCTTCTGGCTCTTACAATTCTTTCTCCCTCTCTTCAGCAGGCTTCCCTGAGGTTCACCTTCTGTTTGGATGTAGGTCTCTGCATCTGTTTTCGTCTATTGCTGAATGAAACCTCTCTGATGATAATTAAGCTAAGCAACAGTGTGTGAATATAGCAGAATATCATTAATAATCATTTAATTGACAATTTGTGCCAGTCATGTTTGGTTCTATTCTAAATCTCTGGGCTGTCCGGCCTCTGGGTCTGGCACTCCAGGCAGTGTTAGGGATGGACTCCCTCTCATGGTATGGGTCACCAGCTGGATCAGTTGTTGGTTGGCCACTCCCACATTTCATACCAACTTCCTCCATCATAACTTGAAAGTAGAGCAAATTTTATGTGAAAGGTTATGTGCTGGTTTGGCCCGCAATCCCTCCACTGGTCTTGCCTGGTTAGAGGACATGGCTGGATCAGGCTCTGACCTCAATCACTAGGATTCTTTTTTTTTTCTTTTTTTTTCCATTTTTTTTATTGAGAAAAGGAGAAAAAAAAAACAAGTTTCCACCTCCTCCCAGCCTCCCATTTCCCTCCCCCTCCTCCCATCCTTCTCCCCCTCCTCCCACTCCACTCCCCCTCCTTCTCCAGTCCAAAGAGCAGTCAGGGTTTTCTGCCCTGTGGTAAGTCCTAGGTCCTCCCCTCTCCGTCCATTTCTAGGAAGGTGAACATCCAAACTGGCTAGGCTCCCACAAAGCCAGCACATTACGTAGGTTCAAAACCCCGTGCCATTGTCCTTGGCTTCTCATCAGCCCTCATTGTTCGCCATGCTCAGAGAGTCCAGTTTTATCCCATGCTTTTTCAGTCACAGTCCAGCTGGCCTTGGTGAGCTTCCAATAGATCAGCTCCACTGTCTCCGTGGGTGGGTGCACCCCTCGTGGTCCCGACTTCTTTGCTCATGTTCTCCCTCCTTCTGCTCCTCATTGGGACCTTGGAAGCTCAGTCCAGTGCTCCAGTGTGGGTCTCTGTCTCTATCTCCATCCATCACCAGATGAAGGTTCTATGATGATATGCAAGATATTCGTCAGTATTGCTCTAGGATAGGGTCATTTCAGGTTCCCTATCCTCAGCTGCCCAAGGAACTAACTGGGGACCTTGGTTTGGGCATCTGGGAGCCACTCTAGGTTCAAGTCTCTTGCCAAATCTAAGGTGGCTCCCTTAACTAAGAATTGTGCTTCTGTGCTCCCCTATCTAACCTTCCTATAACCCAATCCTCCTTTTTCCCCAAGTTCCCCCCATTCTCCCCTTC